CTGGGGGGGGAGGGTCCAGCTAAGTCCCCAGATACCCCCATGGTGCCTCCCGCCTGGCTCCTCCCCCACCTGCTCCCGGCCCCGCCCCCGCCGGACTCCTCCCCCACCTGTTCCCAGCACCGCCCCCGCCTGACTCCTCCCCCACCTGTTCCCAGCACCGCCCCCGCCTGACTCCTCCCCCACCTGCTCCCGGCCCCGCCCCCGCCTGGCTCCTCCCCCACCTGTTCCCGGCCCCGCCCCCGCCGGGCTCCTCCCCCACCTGCTCCCGGCCCCGCCCCCGCCTGGCTCCTCCCCCACCGCTCTTCTCCCCAGGCTCCACCCCATGCCTGCTGGCCCCGCCCCCTGCGACTGGCCCCGCCCCTCACCTCCTGTCGTTTCACCTCATGGGCCGAGAGCTCCTCACTGACCCGGTCGAAAGTCTCGCTCCAGAGTTTGCTGCTGCGGCGCCGGCAGCCCCCGGCCCGGGGGGGCGGGACGTAGCCTGGGGGGCGGGGCTCCGCCTTGAAGCTGATGGACCTCTGGGGTGGGGGCGAGGGCGGGTTGGACAGTGATTGGCTGAGAGCGGAATACAGGCCCTGCCCCCTCCACTCCATGGTCCCCAGCCCACCCAGCCCTGCACCCCCATCCTCAGGGGACCCCCCCCATCCCACCCCCTCTCCCTGCTGCAGGGGGCTGCGCACAGCCCTGCTCCATGTGTCCTGGCCCCCGTAGTGCCGGGTGAGGGGGATCCCCGTGTACCTGGATCGACTGGCTCAGGCGTTTCAGGGGTGTCACCTTGGCCGACGGGGGCCCCGAGCCCGACAGGGTCTTGGCGACAGGTTTCACCCGTTTGGTGCAGGGTTCCTGGGGAGGAAAGTGTGGGAGGGGGTGTCACCGGCTCAGCACTGGGGGGGCCTGGACCCAGACAATGGGCCCCTGGCAACTATTTATAGACCCGGTTTCCTGCCACCAGCAAACAATCCAGGGGCTTCCGGGCAGGAAAAGAGAGAAACAGCCGAGCCCCAGTCCCAGGGTATCCCCCCTGCCCCCCGTCT